AATATGGTAAACCCCAAAAGGAAACATTCACGGGGCCCATGCCACAAGGAAAACAATCCACTAAACCAAACAATAAAAAATACAGTAGTCTCGATTTTATAATTTCAAAAAAAATTGCAAAAACAATATAAAAAACATCTAAGAACAACTCCTTTGATGAACTAATTTACTTATAAGTAAAGAAGTTATCAAAGATAAGAATAAAATATTATCATGATAATATATGTGTGTCTGTGTCTGTGTATATAAACTTATCATATGATATATGCAATTATCGTAAAAGATATCCTAAACTCGTAGAAATCCAATCTTATCATAAAAGATATGTGGAAAGATATCCTAAATTTTTAGAAGTCCAATCTTATCGTGAAATATATGACAAAAGATATTTTAAATTATTAGAAGTCCAATTTTATCATGAAAGATATGTCAAGAGATATACTAGATTATTAGAAATTCAATCTTATCATGAAAGATATGCTAAAAGTTATCCTAAATTTGTTAGAAGTCTAATATAATAAAATGTCACTTTAATTCAACAAATCCTTAAGTTTTCCTTCTAAATAAATCTAGGATAATATAAAATGTATTATGCATGAGTTTTATATGTATAATAGGAAATCAGATCCTGTTACATAAGAAAAATTAATAAAATTCGTAGCTCAAATATTTTGGACGAATCTGCTTACCGTCCCAGTCAGTCAAGACTGACTGATTGTTAGGACCTATACCATGCTTCACGTTTTTGGCAGTTTTCTTGACATTTAAAAATCAATTCATACATTAAGTAAGCCAATAAACCAATATGTAAAAATAAGACAATATAATAGAGCTCAAAGCACAGATACTGTGTTAAATGTGATACATACAAGTTGAAACAGAAGCAACGGATTGTGAATCTATGTATAAATATATAATGACCTTTATATTCTCAAATTGCTTCATGTACCTGCATTTAGCACTGCAAGTATGGTTACTGGTATTTCAAATATCTCAATAAATTGTACGTGGCTGCATATGGCCATGCAATGTAACGATGCACACTTAAGTGCATGTTTGGTATAGAGTATAGTATATAAGAGCTTAGTTTTTTGTAGCACTTAAACTAGTTTTGTTCAGTGCTATCAAACACTCTTACTTCACATGCAGGATTGCATATAAGAAAGTCTCTAAAACTCCTTTATCACACATAAACAAAAGTAGAAATAGAAGTCTAGAGCAGCAAAAAGCCCCACAATATTATCTTCATTTGATTTCATGTTCAAAATTCTTTCTATTAGAATTATTTCAATTTTTGAGAAATTTTATGAGGAATTTCTTAAATTTCTTTAACTTATGAGAAGAATTAGTAAACCTTTGCTTGGAGAATAATCTGCCTTAATCCTCCAATAGTTGCGATAATCATCAAAATAACTCCAAGAACAATACAAATTTGAAATCCATATTGAGAAATTGAATGTCAGATTTCCTGTTTTCACTTTTCACAGCAAAAAATCAAGAAGGTTGTGATACCAGATTTTGCACTTACCCTGTTAGTAAACCAAGATAAACTGAATTTCCTTGATTTATAGATGGTTAACCACATTATACAAGGAAGCTGCAAGAATGTGTAGGAACAAATGTTATTTACTTGACTATGACACACATAAGTATGATAAGACAATGTTGACATTTTTGGCATATTGGCTTGAAAAAGACAATATAAAACTACTGACAAATTTTGTTATATATCATTTTTGTCTAGCCTTGTCTAGTTCCGTCAAGTGTTTGGCAATGATATTATAAGTTTGGGTCTTATGGAATGTATAGCTAATAAGTGTGTAAACGTTATGAATTATATTGGATGTTTGGATAAAAAAATAGAGCTTCACCAACTTATAAGAAATTATACCAAACATGACCTAAGTCGAGTGCGCCAAACATGCAATGAAAGTTACTTACAAAGTATGTGGTTGGCGCAAAAGCAAATCCATCAAAAAAACCGAGAAGCCCACCAAAGGAAGGAAAAGTAATTCCTACAGACATAGTAAATGGTGCAATCAAAGAAATTGTTAGCAAATTAAAGACGAGAATTGATGGCGATATCAAGAAAGCAATCACAACACAAGAACACAAAGAATTAACATGGAAAACACTACCGGCAGAGGAGGAGAATTTTATTAATAAGGAAAATAATGAATTATGTGTTCTATATTGTATTCTAATGCTATGCAAAGCCAAAATCTTGTGGACTATATATAAGAACCAAAAGGATATATTATAGATGGAAAGATGATCAAAAACTACATTAGAAAATGAAAACAGATTTTTTTTGAATACTACTGCCACTCGAGCAGAAGCCTCGCGCCAGGCGAGCAGCGCGTGACACTCTAGCAGTAGGTAAGTGGCTACAACAATGCTCAAGCGCTGCGTGTATAGCGCTCAGAGCCTTATTTCAGGTCAAACTTGATTCCAAACAACTTATATAGAGCCTAGGAGCCCGGTCTCCATCCCAAAACCTCTCAGGCTATATTTTGACATCTTTAACACCTCTTCAACCAATTCACGAACATTCAACAAAATTTAGGTCACATATTAACAAATCTCCACCTTGACTCAAATTCCACTACAATGAACAAAACTTGAAAAATTATCTAATTGGAGACAAATTCCACTATAAGGAATAAATCAATGGCTCTCCAACAAAGAATTAACTCAATCAAAAATCTCCTTCTCTTCCACAATGTCCAACTAGGACAATCTCAATCAACTAAACCCAACCATTGTTCAACAGGATTACCCCGAGTACCAAAGCTGCTCGAATTATTACCACGAGCAACAAAATCACAAATAATTCACAATAATGATCAAACAAGGTAGAAACATGCCATGTAACAGAATCAACATAACAAACTGCTTCTGTTGAAGGTTCTTTACAAGACTCAATACCTTCAACTACATTTAAAGAATAAGCCACTAAATCAGCTTTCATGTACCTTTATGAAAGCCTAATATCTCTTATAGGTCTGTCTCTAGCAATTGAATACAATGGCACCATTGGTGGTGGTGGCAAAGCAACGTTACCCAACATAGACCCCAAGTCAAACTCTAATTATATTGTACTAAACTGAATATCCACCAAAGTTCATAATTTCTATTTATTGGTCTCCAATAATTCTGTAGAACTATGCAAGACATGAAACTGGGACTTTCTCTATCCATGCAGCACAACACGGCCGCCTTTGCTAACCTTGAGGACTCCAACTTTACCGGTGTACTTGTACGCTTTTGAAACAAGAATACTCATGGAGATAGGATTTCTCTTCAAATCTAAAACATGTCTCACCTCATCAAGTGTTTTGACCGTCCCATCAAACATCTTAATTTTGACACTTCCAATACCAGCTATTTTACAAGGTGCATTATTATCAATTACCACAACACCTTTTGGAACTACTTCATATGTTGAAAACAAATACCGATTGGGACACATATGAAAAGTGCAAGCTATTTCGAAAATCCAACCCTCGTCAGAAATAATCAGAAATTCTTCATCACTATAGCAATTTTCTGCAATATCGAATTCACATGAAGTTTCTAGTTGCATTCCCTTCTCATTTGCAGCATTTTTTTCCTTATTCTGCAACTTATAGCAATTCTTCTCTATTGGTCCCTTCTCCTTGCAGTAGTTACAAACTTTATTACTAGAATTAGATTTCGATCGGCCCCATCTCATAAACATGATAAACAATAAGGCATTCTCCTTGAGTCTCAGAACTTACAAGATTTTTCATTTTCTCCCTTGTGAAAGAGTGTCATACACTTCATCAATGGTGAGAGTATCAAAACTATATAATATCGCGTCTATAAACAACATATATGAAGCGGAATACGAACACAATAAAATCAACTCCAAATCTTCTTCATCTTACTTAACCCCCGAAGTCTTCAAATCAGCGACAATTTCTTTAAAGACAGCAAGGTGTTCTTCAAATGATGTACCTTCTATCATGCGATAAGAATACAAATGTTGTTTCGGATGCAATTTGCTGTTAACTTTTCATCATGCATAATTGCTCCAACTTCAATCATAATGTAGCGACTCTTACTTCAAAACGTCCTAAAGAATATGATTCGAGTGATGAAGATGAATTTGTGATAGGGTACCAACTTATGGGAATCTTGTCAAATCTCAACAAAGTATCGTCTAAATCCATTTGAGCAAGCACTGCTCTCATCTTCACTTGCCACAACGAAAATCTAGTGTTGCAATCCAAAACCTAACTCTAATACCACTTGTTGGCAAATTAAATGCGAGAATTGCTGGCGATATGAAAAAATCAATCACAATATGAGAACTCGAAGAATTGACGTGGCAAATACCACGGACAGTGGAGTAAAATTTTATTAACAAGGAGATAAAATACAATGAATTTTGTGTTCTAAATTGTACTCTAATGCTATTCAAAGCCAAAATCATGTGGACTATATATAGAAACTAAAAGAATATGTTTTAGATAGAAAAATAATAAATAAAACACGTCAGAAAATGGAAACAAAATTTTCTCGGATAATATTGTCGCACGAGCTATAGTTTCTTGCCAGGCGACCGGTAAGCGAGTGGCAACGGCTTTCGAGTCCAACTTGATTCGAAACACCTTATATGGTGCTTTGGAGCCCAAGTTGGGCACTCGGGCACTTTCAACCAATCCACAAAACATGTGACAAAATTTGGGTCACATATTAACATAAATGTATAAATTTGTGTGGAAATTGATTATACAATAGAAGTAAATATATTTATAAAAATAAGATATGTAGAAAATGAAGTTTACATACCAAGTAACTATTCCTTGAAACAAAACGCAACATCCAACTAGGCTTGAATTTTAGTTTCTTTACTTTTCAATCATATCAAAACTAGCATTGCGTAAATCTACAAGAGTGAAATTTAAACAGAACTAAATGATTACTTTCTAAGATGAATAAATAGTCGAAGGAGAGAAAGATAGGCTGCATACCTAATAGATCCCAATAACATGAACCACGACAAGCAAGTTAGACATGGCGATTAGCCACACGGGTTTCTCTAATGAGATAAGAATGTTATCCTCAACTTTATTCCCGAACATCCAGTACCCAATAAGAGCAACAGGGAAGTAGCACAATGCAACAACTATGTAAGCAACAATAACTCTCTTCCACATAGGTCCTTTAGAAGGCTTCTCCGATGTAAAAAGGATTGTTGTTTGAATCTCCAACACCACATTCGTGACTAACATAAGCAAAAGCAACATCACCTAAGGTACTGAAGTTGAAAACTGTTCGTGCTATGGTTGTATCCTTGTACTTGTACTGCAAACTTGGTTGTATACCCTTGTCGATTGATGCACCTTAAGCTATAGTTAAGTAACTTCATGACATAGCATCGGTGCATTAGGATTCTACCATTTATATCAAACATTACATAATAGTAAACTTATAGGTCGAAAATATTCGAAATAAACAATTATCAAACATTAATGAAAGAAAGGGAGAAATGCATTCTCTGAATCCCCCTTAGCTAGTGTCCTTCAACTAAAAAGATAGATTGTATTGATAGCTTATAGTCTATCCTTAGATTTCATGAAATTAAAGGTTTGTGTCCATTTCTTTATGCTGAATAATATATTGTATCTAGCCATTGTATTTAAGATATATTAGACGATTTTCAAGATATGATTATTATTATTACAAAAAATGCATATAATTTGTGGGTGAAAAAAGGTGTCGTCTACTGATGAGTGCTCCACACTCATGNTGGCATAGGAAGTGATCGAATTGGAGAATGATGTCTGAATTAAAGTTGTAACCAGATGAGTTAGCTTTCCAACTCATTTTGCATCGCCTCAATAGGATATCGGAATACAAAGTTATGATAAAAATATTGAAAAAATGTATAACAGTTTACAGGGGGGAAGGCGCCCTGCGCCATTGTAGGGCGCCCCTGCGCCACTGGAAGCTTCAGAGCTGATTTTCACCCGAAACTACGGGCGCCCCTGCGCCGCGATGACACCAGTTGCCAAATAAGCCCTAAATCTAAAGAGTTTAAAGGGGGGAATATAAATACGGCTTATAGGGTTCAATTAAGGGACTTTTGGAAGAGCAAAACCAGCAGCCACACCATAGAGAAGACCATTGGAGATTGAGGAATCCACAAA